TCGTATGCCAGTACCAGACTGTTTTGATTACAGTGGTCTTGTAATATAGTTTGATGCCAGGTATTGTGATCCCTCTAATTCTGAGAAAGAATTTGTTCTTCTTTCTCAGAATTGCTGAAGGTATTCAGGGTTGTTTATGGTTCCATATAAATTTTTGAAATGCTTGTTCTATATCTGTGATATATGTCCTGAGTATTTTAATAGGGATTGCATTGAAACTATAAATTGCTTTTGGAAGTATGGACATTTTGATGATGTTAATTCTTCCCATCCATGAACACAGTATATGCTTCCATTTGTCTGTGTATTCCTTAATTTCTTTCTTCAGTGTTCACTAGTTTTCTGAGTACAGGTCTTTTACCTCATTGGTTTGGTATTCCTAGGTACTTTATTTTTCTTGTTGCTATAGCAAATGGGATTTTTTTCCCTAATTTCTGTTTTTGATATTTCATTGTTGGTGTACAAAAATGCCTTTGATTTCTTAATTGACTTTGTATCCTGCTAGTTTGCGAAATTCACTTATTAGGTTGAGTAGCTTTTTTGTGTAGTCTATAAGGTTTTCTACGTACACTTTCATGTCATCTGCAAACAAGGACAGTTTTACGTCCTCCTTTCCAATTCGGATGTCTTTTTCTTTTTCTTGTCTTATTGCTATGGCTAGAACTTCCAATACTGTGTTGAATAGAAGTAGTGAAAGGGGACATCCTTGTCTTGTTCCTAATCTTAGTGGGAAAGCTTTTAGTTTTTGCCTGTTGAATATGACATTGCATGCAGGTTTCTTGTATATGGCCTTTATTATGTTCAGGTATGCTCTCTCTATTCCCACTTTGCTGAGTGTTTTTATCATACATAGATGCTGTACCTTATCAAATGCTTTTTCCACATCTATTGATATGATCATGTGATTTTTGTCTTTCCTTTTGTTTATGTTATGTATTGCATTTATTGATTTGTGAATATTGTACCATCCTTGAATCTCTGGGATGAATCCCACTTGACCATGATGGATGAACTTTTTTATGTATTGCTGGATGTGGTTTGCCAATATTTTGTTGAGGATGTTAGTGTCTGTCTATGTTCATCAGCAATATTGGCCTGTAGTTCTTTTTTTTTTTGTTGTGTCTATATCTGGTTTTGGGATCAGGATGATGCTGGCCTCATAAAAAAGAGTTTGGGAGTCTTCCCTCGTCTTGGGGTTTTTTTTTTTTGTTTTTTTTTTTTTGAGTAGTTTGAGAAAGATAGGTGTTAGCTCTTCCTGAAATGTTTTATAAACTTCTGTGAAACTGTCTGGACCAGGGCTTTTGTGTGCCAGGAGGTTTTTTTTTTATTGCTTCAGTTTCATTAGCTGTTATCAGTCTCTTCATGCTTTCTGCTTCTTCTTGACTCAGTTTTGGAAGATTGTATATTTCTAGAAATTTGTCCATTTCACTCAGGTTTTCAAATTTCTTAGCATACAATTGGTCATAGTAATTTCTTACAATCCTTTGTATTTCTGTGTTATCAGTTGTAATTTCTCTTCTTTTAATTCTGATTTTATTTATTTGGGTCCTCTCCCTTTTTTTCTTGATGAATCTGCTTAAAGGCTTGTCAATTTTGTTTATCTTTTCAAAGAATGAGCTCCTGGATTTATTATTGATCCCTTGAATTGTTCTTTTAGCCTCTGTGTCATTTAATTCTGCTCTGATCTTGATTATTACCTTCCTTCTACTCACTTTGGGCTTTGCTTGTTCTTCCTACTATTTTTGTAGATGTAGAATTAGATTATTTATTTGAAATGTTTCTGTCTTTTTGAGGACTGCCTTCACTGTATCCCATAGGTTTGGGGCTATTGTGTGCTCATTTTCATTTGTTTCCAGAAACTTTTTGATTTCTTCCTTGATCCCATTATTAACCCATTCATCGTTTAATAGCATGCTATTCAGTCTCCATGAATTTGAATGTTTTTGAGTTTTTTCCTTGAGGTTGGTTTCTAGTTTCAAGCCCTTGTGGTCCAAGAAAATGCTTGGTATCATTTCAATTTTCTTGAATTTGTTGAGGCTTGTTTTGTGTCCTACCATGTGGTCTCTTCTTTGAAAATGTTGCATGTGCATTTGAAAAGCTGTGTATTTTGTTCTTTGGGATGAAAGGTTCTGCATATATCAGTTAAGTACATTTGATCTAGTGCATTGTTCAGTGCCACAATATCCTTGTTGATGTTTTGTTTGGAAGATGTATCCATTGTTGACAGTGGGGTGTTAAAATTCCCTACTATAAGTGCATTGCTGTCTGTATTTTTCTTGAAGTTCTCCAAGATTTTCCTTATAGATTTGGGTGCTCCTATGTTGGTGCATATAGGTTTACAATGTTTACATCTTCTTAATGGATTCTTCCTTTGAGTATTATGAAGTGTTCTTCTGAGTCTCTTTTGGTGGGCTTTGTTTTGAAATCTATTTTGTCTGATATAAGTATTGCTATGCCAGCTTTTTCTTTTCCCCTGTCCATCTCCTTTGAATATTTTTTCCAACTCTTCACTTTCAGTCTGTGTAGGTCTTTTGTTCTGAGGTGGGTCTCTTATAGGCAGCATATGTGCGGGTCATGTTTTCTTATCCATTCAGCTGCCCTGTCTTTTGATTGGAGCATTTAATCCATTTACATTTAAGGTTACTATGGACAGAAACTTGTTCATTGCCATTTTTCTTCTTTGTTCCTGTGTTCCTCTCTCACTCTCTCTCTTCATCTTCTTAAAGCAGTCCCTTTAGCACATCTTGCAGTGCTGTATTAGTGGAGGTGTATTCTTTTAGACTTTTGTCTGGGAAACTCCTTATTTCGCCTTCCATTTTAAATGGCAGCCTTGCAAGTTACAGTAGTCTTGGTTGCAGGCCTTTGTTTTTCATTATTTGGAATATTTTTTGCCATTCTTTTCTGGCTTGCAGTGTTTCTGTTGAGAAGGCAGCCCCTAGCCTTATTGGGGCTCCATTGTATGTTACTTCCTGTTTCTCCCCTGCTGCTTTTAGGATTCTCATTGTCTTTGAACTTTGCCGTTTCAATTATGACGTGTCTTAGAATGGGCCTCTTTGGGTTCATCTTGATTGGGACCTCATGTGCTTCCTGGACTTATGTGACTTTTTCTCTCCTCAAATTATGGAAGTTTTTTATGATCACTTGTTCCGACAGGTTTTCTATTCCTTGCTCCTTTTCTTCTCCTTCTGATATCCCTATTATACAAATATTAGTATGTTTCATGTTGTCCTGCAGTTCCCTTAATGCCTCTTCATTCTTTTTGAGTCTTTTTTACTTCCAAGGTCGAAAAAATTGGGGAATTATTTTCTACCTTGTCCTCCAGCTCACTGATTTGATCCTCTGCTTCATCTACCCTACTTTTGATTCCTTCTGCTGTGTTCTTCAATTCAGAAATTGTATTCTTCATTTCCTCCTGGCTCTTATTGATAATGTCTATGTCCTTTTTCATGCTGATGTAGTTTGCAGTAAGTTCCTTGTAGCTTCCCTGTAGTTTTCTTTAATTTTCACTGAGTTCATGGAGCTACTTTATAACCATTGTTCAAACTGAATATCTGATTGTTTGCTTGCCTCTATTTCATGTAGAAGTCCTTCTGAGAATTCCTCTTTTCCTTTCAATTGGGGGTTGTTTCTTTCTCTCCCCATTGTAGGGGAGACTCTTCTTGTTTGTTTCTGCTTCTTAAATTAATCTGCTTTGACTCCCTGTCCCTGTGGTGTGAACTTCTATGGTAGGAGACCTGTGGGATTCAGTGGTGCAGTCTCCTTGATCTCCTGAACTTGATGTTCGTGGGATGCCCTTTAAGTTGTTTATGTTGACTCTTTGGATATAACTGGTTTTAGATTGTTGTTGTGTCATTCTTAGGTGGGTCCTTCCCTCCAGCTGGTTGACTGAGGGTCACTCCACCCACCATGTCTTGTGTGCTGTTGTGCATGTGATGCCAGAACAAAACCACAAAGCCAAGGAAACAAACCCACACCTTCAAAAATAACTCCCCCATGCAATCCCACTATCAAGAGCAAATAAACCAGTATTAATAAGGGTGTAAAGAGATTGAGACTATTATAAGAAATGAGAGTGAATATGAGATGACCTACTGAAAGAAAAATGATTTTGAAAGGGTAGGGGAAGGAGCACTAATAAGAGTGAGTTATCAGAGCAATGCAAAGAGAGAAGAGTAAAATTTACATCATAAATAAAAAAGGGAATGAAGAAGGCAGAATGGCGTAAGAAAGGGAAATGTATAGTATTATGTTTAACAAAAATTTTAAAAATTGAATAAAATAAAGTGAGAGAGAGGAAGAAAAAGGAAAAAAGTAAATAAATAATAAAAAGATAGGAACCAAATTGGAGAAAAGGTCCAACACAGCACTATCAACAACACATGAGCTAAAATTAATATATGTGGGATGGGAATAAGAGGAAAAAAAGAAAGAAAGAAAAGCTTAAGAGATGTCTAGAGGAAAGGGAAGTTAGTTTAAGATGATAAAGGGAGAGGGAATACTAAGAGTGAGGAATAAAAACCAAGGCTAAGACAGGGAAGAAGTAAGATTTGAGACAAAGTGGAAGAGGGGAACAGTAAAATTTGAGATCTGAAATACAAAAATAGTGAATATCTAGAGATAAAATTGAAAAAATGCAACAACAACTATCCTATGCACAACCAATGAGCAAAGATTGCTAAAGGTAGAGAAAGAATGTGGGTGTTTTAAGAGCAGAAAAAGAATTGTGCAATGGCCATTGACAAGAAAATTGGTTTTGAGACTCTGGATGGGGGAGAAATAGTGAGAGTATGGAATTAAACAAGTTGTAGCGAGAGAGAAAACAAAATTTAAAATGAAAATAATAAGAGGAAAGAGGAAGCAAAATGGGGTCAGAGAAGGGAGGAGCAAAATATGTGAATTAAAAGAAACTGTAATATAAAACCTAGTTACAAGCACAAACTTGAAATATGTCCATTTCTAAATTGGATTGTTTGATTGGTTTTCTTTTTTCTTTTTTGTGGTTTTTTTTTTTTTTCCTGTTTGCTATTGAGTTTATGAGTTCTTTATATAGTTTGGATATTAACCCTATATTGGATATGTGATTTGAAAATATTTTTTCATGTGGTAGGTTGCCTTTTCATTTTGTTGATGAAATGTTTCCTTTGCTTTGCAGAAGCTTTTTAGTTTGATGCAGGATGTAGTCCCACTTGTTTATTTTTTGGTCTTTTTCTTTTTTGGCCTTTGCTTTTGGAGGTAGATCCAAAAAAAAAACACCATCACCAAGATCAATATCAAGAAGCTTATCACTTATTTTCTTCTAGGAGTTTTACAGTTTCAGGTCTTATATTCCAATGTTTTATCCTTTTTGAATTAATTTACATATGGTATAAGGTAGTGGTCCAGTTTCATTGTTTTACATGTGGCTGTCCAGTTTTTCCAACACCATTTATTGAATATTGTTTCCCATTGTATAACCTTGGCTCCTTTGTCATAAATTAATTGACCATAGACAGGTTAATACTGACTTAAGATAACTCTCTCTGAGACATAGTTAAGGCTCTTAACTATTATGCTAAGAATTAAGTTAAATAAGTTATCTTTTTGCCCTTGTGAATTAGAGGATTAATAGATGAATGGTAGAAGTAAACTATTAGGGTCAGGTTAGAAATTATTATTGATATTGCTAAAATTTCAAAATTATGACTTCAGTATAGAATTAGCAAAGAAATTTTTCATATAACAATAATAACAATGGCTACTATTACTTACCTCATTAAAACTAATCCAACAATGTTTATGTGTATAGAAATCTACATATTAGTCAGACCTCCATTTGTGAGGAAAGCAATCACATCTGGGTTTGAATAAATAACCACAGGATATTTGGTTATTTACCTGAAAGCCTTGCCTGGCTCCTTAAGGAAAGGGGAGAGGAAACTGATATAAGTAATTGTGTCTCTGATTACTGGCTCTAGCTTTCATTCATTTACTCCTATTCCTGTCCTTTTGTGGTGTCACATTAATAATCAGCAGTTCTTAGATGTATGTTCTTTGAAAGCAATGAGGGGATTGTATCAGTTTGCTAGGTAGTTCCTGGGTACTCTCTCCCCATCATTCCCCTCTCACGTGTTCTGTCTACCTTTCCCAGACCCCACAACTACACTGCCTGCCCCACTTTACCTGAATGCAGTGAGCGATGGTTCCTGGGATGCTGTTCTTTCTAGGGAACAGCAATCTGGAACAGGGGGTGATCATAATGGTAAGATACCTCTACACTAAAAGCATCTAAAAATAAAATAAAACTCCTAAGACACTCCTAAGACATTTGCAGTGGCTAATACCAAACACCTCTTAACAGATAACTAGGAAGGAAGGAAGGAAGGGCAGGAGGGAGGGAAGGATGAAGGAAGAAATGAAGGGAGGAAGGGAGGGAGAGGTTGAGGGGAGGGAAGGAGAGGTCAACTGAGCCACTAATTTAAACCTGAAAAGTGACCTTTCCATCCAAGGATCTGAAGTAACCCTTCTACAGATATGTTTGGTAGGATAGTTAGAGTGCTATATTTCTTGAATACAGATGCAATATAAGAGTTAATAGCGATATGTAAATGGTAAATTTTTACTTTTCTTAGTGAAACTAAAATTCATTTCTTCCTATTTTATGGCTGGCTGTTCATCTTGATATATTATGCATTAGTCAGCTTGGGCTGCCATAACAAAATACCATAGAATGGGTGGTTTAAACCACAGAAATTTATTTTTCACAGTTCTGGAGGCTGAGAAGTTTAAGATCAAGATTTTGGCTTATTCAGCCCCTGGAGAAGGTACTACTCTTCCTGGCTTGCACATGGCCACCTTCTCACATCACCATGTCCTTACATGGTCTTTCCTCAGTTCATGTAGGTGGCGCTTCCAAGGCCGCCAATTCTATTGCATCAGGACCCCACTCATATGCCCTCATAAAAGCCCCATCTCCAAATAAGATCACATTGAGGGTTAGGGCTTCAACATAGGAATTAGGGTGGGGGACACAATTCAGTCATATATGGTATGATAAATGTTTGATTATTCCTTTAAATTAAATGATAAATTAACAATTGAGTGTCTTTACTGTTTTGATATAGACTACTGCATATGTGCACTGCAAATAACTGCCTATAAGAAATGTACATTTCAAAAGAGTAAAATGCATAAAACTAGAGTCAGCTGAGCATACTATCACATTTTAAGCTTGAAAAGAACAGAAACTTCAGTCAAAGCCAGCAGAATTCACAAACATGCATCATATATTTTTATACAATATCAGTCTTGAAGGGTTGTTGTTTTCTACATAATTTCTGCTATCCCTATGGAAGGAAAACAGAGTTAGTCTAAGCAATGAAGCCACACCTAAGTCCCCTGGGATGGTACCGCTGTGCTGTGGCTCAGAGAGGGGAGGAGAAGGTCTTCAGGCTGTCTTTACATAATTGTCTTTAGTATTAATGATTGGGGCATGAAATGTTAATATGTTTGTGTTTAGCAAGATTCTTTGCATAAATTGTATCTGATAGTGAATAAAACCAGAAATTCATTGAGTACTCTTGAGAGGAGTGTCATTACTTGCACAAGTGCAGAGATCTTTATTTGTACTAGAAAGTTAAAAACAGGTGGGAAAAGAGAGAATTTTAAGATTCTTTTCAGAAAGATTGGGTGGGGTGTTGGGGAGACATTCCCAGCAGACATATCCAAGAACAGAGTGCCATGACAATTCAGAGGAAAGCCATCAGGCTGGGGTTAGATTCCTATTGCAGTGGAAAGAAGTCAGGCAGGAAGATGCCCCTCTGTCCCTGGATGTCCCGATTTGGTCGCCATCTACCCGGGGGAACACCGCAAGGAGCGCTGCTGGATCTGAGGGTTACTGTCCAGAGCCAGCTGAGGAGGGAGCAGAGCTGTGAATCCAGCAGAGCCCGTCCTGTGGGTGTCACGGATTGGGGAATAAACACAAGTCCTTGCAAACACTTTGTTTGCCAGGAGAGGGGACGGGGCTCTTCCCTCTAGGGGAGAGAAGGCCGGGACCCCTGTGTCCAAAGGCTTTCACTGAGAACCCTGTGCACAGGGGTCTGGATGCAAAGCTCATCAATCAATGTCAAAGGCTATGTTTACAGAAAACAGAGATCATAGATAACAATTGGAAGAACACAAGAGATCTGCCTCAGGTCAGGATCTACAAATAATGTAAATCTCCCTCCCAGTATGAGCCAGTTATCATAGCTTTCAAGGGAAGAACAAAGCATGCTTCCAGGAACTTACTTCTAGGCCTGCTTTTCCCCTGAGAACAATCCAGTTTAGGGCTATACCTGCCTTTAGTATTATTTCAAGCCTGAGCCAGGTGGATGGGGCAGAGCCACCAAAAGACGAGGAGACTTATTTCAGATGGAATGAGGACTCTGGCCATGTCCAAACCAAGCCGAGGGGTGCGGGCCTTTTTGCCCTTTCTCAGTGTCCCCCAAGTCCTTGTCTGCTGCCCATACCAGTGGCGTCTATCTTAGGTCATCTCTCTGCTTGAGGAATCTTACCCGTCTTTGACTAACCAACCATCACAGGGCTAAGCAGGGTGATGTGAGGGAGGCAGGAGCTGCACTCCTGCCAGAGGGACAGGTTTTGTCTCCTCAGTGACCTGTTTTCCCAAGGCCTCTTTGATTATTTCCAGCCTTGGGGCCCGCTTGCCTGTGGGCAGGACTACAGGTCCTGAAACCAGATGGGGCGTTTCCCAACACCTGGGGCCTGCTCCTTGTGTTGCTGCTGATTCAGGCCTCCAGAATGTCTCAACCACACATCTAGCATGGCATTACTCATGGTGCCATGGTGACTTTTACTTCCGTGCCCTTCTTCCTCCACCTGTCTCTTCCTCCTGTTCCTTAACTGCTTTTTGGAATGAAGCAGGGCATGTACATGATCCTGTTTCTCACACAGCTAACTTGAGATTTTCCTCTTCACTAGATGATGAGTTTTTGAGGCTCACCAAGTGCCTGGCTCATAATAGGAAAGTTAAAATTAATTAATGATTGGAATGAAATATTGACTGAGGATATTCAGAAGGGGTCACTGAACCACTACTTGTTAAAAACAAGTAGGGCGCTGATACCTGGAAATCGAACAGACAGGGCTTTGAGCGGCATAACCAAAGCTGTGGCCATGGGAAAGCCCAGGGTTTTGCTCAGTTGTGTTTCAGTATGTACTTGGGATGGGAAAAAAGCCTGGAAAGTTATGTTTGAATCAAATCCCTGAATGCCAAGCTAAAGGACTTACAGAAGTCTTGAAGAATTAATTGCTTTTCCAGTGCTTTCATTGCTTGGGTATGCTGCAGCTAAATGCAGTCAACATTTATTTATCTGAATATTAAAAAATGAAAATGGCACATCAAGAACCCTTGAATCATTTTCTTTCTTTTTGGGCCTGCCTGCCTTGTAGCCAGATTCCTGCTTGTTAGGATAAAGGGAGAGGGAGAAAAAAAATGAAGATAAAACTAAAGCTCATTTAGTTGCTTCATTCTTAGATATGTCATAAGCAAAGAGACCAATATTAATTTATTACAATCAGAATGATACTGCTTTTAGCCAAATGCTGTTTTAAGACAGGGGCAAAGAGTAGATTAATTTAATTTTTAAAGTAAGTTATAAAGATAAAGGCAGTACAAAGTTAAGAGTGCATTTCTGAGTGGAAACTTAAGTAACATTGAGAATTAGCTTTATAAGAAGAGTAATGTGATAAATATATCACTGTGATATATTAACCAGTGTCTAAAGTAACTTTTGCTCTGAACTTTAAAGCAGAGATGCAATCAATGAGTATAATGGGATTTTGAATCATATATGGATTGTATTTATCCAGAGTTTTCTCTTGGTCTGATCATCCCTCAGAATCTACAATACTATAAGTAGTATAAAATCTATACATACTAGATTCAGAGAAAGCATTTCAAGTATTTTCACATGCCTTCACTAATATATAAAGGGAAAATGGAGACTATTGCTGCCGGCACTTAAAATTATAATGTGCCAATATGAAAACACTCATTGTAAGGTCCCAATCTGCATATATCTGCCAAATTTGTTATTTATTGCATTTCTATTCCCATGATGATGTCTCTCCAGCTCTCTTTAAAAGTGAGGTGACTGTTTAATTAAGGGATAATGATTTCCCTGTGTGAATTATTCACGCATGATATAATTTTTATCAATGCATGATGTACCTAACCATATGCACAGGGACTAAAAGGTGACTGGGTTAAACGCGAGCATTGATTTAATTAAGTGGTGGTATTATGGACAAATTCTGCCCTAGTTTCTTGCTAATTTTTAATAATAAGGTAAAATGCATATATATTTTTAAAAACTTCAAAGCCTGGAAACTTATTCATGAACTGATCATCTTTATACATTGTATTCTAAGAAGTATTTTGCTACAATGATTGAATAATAAATATTAAATGATAAATGGAACTTCTATATCTTCCATCTCATTTCATCAGCACAAAATTAATAGCTACATTGGGAATCACCAACTGGGAGGTATTTTAAACAGCACCATTTAAATTCCTTCTGGAATTTGGCAGGCACACGTGATGAGAAAAGATTTGGAGAAAACGGTCCATTAAAAAGGGACCAAAGTGTCCCAGTTTGGCCATAAACAGCAGGATCCTTGAAGAGAAGTACGGCTTTCCCAGTGGGGAAAAGCGACATTTAAATCCATCCTCTGAAATGTCTTTGTAATTTTGCCGGGGCCCCGGTGCTCTGGCCTCCCCAACCCCAGCCGTCAGGTTGCCTTGGATCATCTCCAGTTTTCTTCTCACGGCTGTGCTGAGACCAACCAGAGGAGCCCAGTGAAAGCACCCGTCGTGCTTTAACCTAAACAACCTGGAAGTGACAGTGTGTGCCTGCATGTACCTGCCTCTGCAAGCCATCCTCTCTCAGGGCTTAATTTAGGGTGTGTTTGGAGCAATAGATGTCTTTCAAAATTGCCATGGAAAATCTTTACGCGTCCTAGTCAGGCAGAACTGTATGGGCCCTCCAGCGCAGGCATCTTCACTAGCACCTGCTCACCCCTCAGTTCTAGTATGACTTGGCATTCACTGTTCACATGTCTGCTTCCCCTTCTCAGAGTGCCAGCAGCTTGAGGGCAGCAGGGCCCGCCTTCATTTTCCTCGCTCTGTAACCCTGCATCTACCGCAGTACTGAGAAGACAGCAGGCTTTTAGTCAATATTTGTTGTGTCAGTGAGTAGGTAGAGTGGAAAAAGCATAGATTTGGAGGTAAGCATGTATGGAATTCCATTCTTGGCTTTATCTACAATACTATGGGATCTTGGGTGAGTATCTTAACCCTTCTGAGCCTTATAGTTTCCTAAAAACAGATAGAGTAGCCAGTTCACAAGTACATAGCTGGGAGGCTGAGAATAAGTAATGTGTGAAAAGCATATTGTAGACTCTAAGTACTCTCTGGTTGTTAGTCCATTAATGTAACAGATTTGCTGGGTATTGATAATGCATCATCAGACCTGTACTAGGTGCTGGAGAGATGAGGATAGACAGGTAGGTTTCTCCTCTCAGGATGTGAGTAGTCTAACATTGTGATTTTTCTTCTAATTATTTTTCGGGGGAGGCAACTATCAGGCTTAAACTTAGGTGGATCACTTATTAGACACATTGATTGGTTTCTTCTGTGTAAACCCCCTCACCCTAAGAATGAGAGAGCACGCAGTTCCCCACTGTGCCTCTTCTTCATGGTATACTGCCAGCAGTTTTGCCAAGTTCTTATTCTCTGCTGTTTTGCTAGTACTCAAGAATATTTCAGAATTATGGATGGGATGATGTCATATCCCAGCAGAATAAGAATCAGGAAAGCCTCCTACCCTAAAATTAGAATGTAGCATACTTTGTTATTACAATTAGATAACTATTCTTTATGAGGAAAGGCAGCTAATTGAAGCCATCCACAGGGAGAGTGAATTCAGATGTTTTCTGGGGCACTTAAAAGTGTATCCAAAGGCGCTCTGTGCTCACTGCTAGAAGTGAGCTGATTGGAAAACTTAAAAGTTTTAGTGTGTTAAAACAATGAACTCCTTTCCAAACATCCTTCCAGCCCACCTTAAGCAAGAGAGAGGGAAAATGGTACCTTAAAGAGAGTCCCCAGTGTCAGCTCATGTTGCTTATGTTAATGGATGGTAGGATATCCCAGCATGTGGATAATTTTTAAAAAATGCATGTAGCCTTGATATTAAAATACATCGTTAATGTCTGACAATGTTTTTCTCTGTGAATATTGCCTGTTAAGTGGTAGGAAAATATTGTGTGTATGTGTATGTGTGCATGTGTGTAGCATGTGAGCACGCACACCCACAAGTGTGCATGTGCATGGGCATGCATTGCACATAGATTCACAATCCCTAAACCCCAAAGGGAAAACACTTCTAACTAGTGAGCATTCACTCCAAATGTTTTTAAATGAAGTGCTATGTTGATAAACCATTGATCACATGTGCATCACTACTGACTCCCTTTTCTTTAGTTAGGACAGGAGTTTGTTTTTTTCACCAAATATTTTAAGTTCCTATTATGAGCAAAAGATTATGCTTGGAGGGCAGTAGAAGTACAGCTATACCCTGGACTTTTGGATGTTGGAAGACTTTCAGGAATCCCCAAAGTCTGGGCAATGTCATTTCCATTAAGAGTAACATGAATTTTTTCAACATTCACTAAATGTTGAACCTCCCCAAGCTTAGTTCTAGGCCCAATTCTCTTCTCATCCTCTCCACGGTTTCAATTACCATCTAAATGCTTTCATCTCCCAATTGTGTACCTCTAGCCCACTCGTCTGCTCTGAGCTTCAGACTCATGTCCCACATTAAATCTCTACTTGACTGTTGATGGTACCTCAAATTCAATCTGTCCAACTAAACCTGGGGGTATCATCTAAGTGAATTAATCATTTATTCAGTTCCATGTCCCTCATTCTAAACATCTAGTCCACTATGTCATGCTGACTTTATTGGTTAAATATCTCTTAAATCTACACACTGCTTTCCTTTTCCATAGTTACTACTCTAGTTTCGATCACCATGATTCCTTGCTTGGATGATTCCAATAGACCTCTCACTGGCACCCCTTCTTCTCTTCTGGCTCCTCTCCAATACGCTTTTCAATCTGATCAGGTCTCCCCCTTAGCATAAGAACATTTAACAAGCCCCCATTGCTTGTACACAAAGACCCAGGATCCCCAGTGTGATGTCCAAGAGCTACATGGCTCCGCTAGTAGAGCATCTTACTGTCAAAGAGCCTGGAATAATGTTTTTCTGACTTTTTCATCAGGTTAATTTTTGGCTGCTTTCTAGACCTTAGCTCAAAGGAAACTTCCACAGAAAAGCCTGCTCTAGCCCCTTAAACTGTCCATAGCACTTACCACAATGTGCAGCTGTACATTTAGTTATGTGTTTACTGATCAGTGTCTTCTCCCATAGGACTGAAGGTCCACAAGCATAAGTGCCATATGTTCCTAGCTGGAGAGCTAGCAGGAGCTTTGTACTGAAGGATCTTTTAAGCCAAGTTAAGCTATTTGGAATTTATCTTAAAAGCAGTGAGAAGTCTTTGGAGGATTTTAAGCATGGGAACAGTGTGATTGGATTTTCACTTTGGAAGAATCACCTTGGATGAGGCACAGAGAACTCCAGACAAATATTCCCCAAACAGAAATGAGACAGTCACAGTACCTGTAGGTCCCTGCCATTCTTTCTCTTTTCCACTTCTCCTGTCCCTCCTCTCTAAATCCAGTCCAGAATGTTATCCACCAACCCTCGCAGACAAATGCTTGATCATATCTAGTCAGTCACTTGAACATTGATTGAGTCCCTAACTACATGATTTACACTAGGAGTAGTAAATGAGAAATGGTCCAGGTCCAAATGTGTATCTCTAGTCCATGTCTCTTGCCCTGGCGGGAGAAACTATTCAATAAGCAGTGAGTATACTCCTGCGTGGGAAGTGCCGTAGTGGGAGTTTGAATGGAGTTCGCAAATGCAGAGGAGGTTATAACTAAGATAACTCCCTGGTAGAGCAAGAAAATGCCTCACAGAGAAGGAGGCATTTGAACTAGGATAAGCTAGGTAGGAATGGTGGATTTTGTCGGGCAGACACAAATGGGGAGGGCATCGTGAGTGGCTGGGACAGCACGTGTGAAGGCCCAGAGCGGTAAAAGGGCGGGGCAGCCTGGGGAGTGGTGTTAGCCCTGCGGTTTCACGGCTGTGGAGAGGGTGTATGGGGGTGGGGGTGAGGAGTGCAGGAGGAGATGGAAAGAGATGGGCACATTCGGGCTGTTTGGTAAAGGGCCTGGTGTTCTTGACTCAGGGGAATCATACTATGGACTCCCAGAAGTCACTGGACCACTCATAGTATCTCTGTATTAAAATAAAAGCACATGAGGAAATACTTTATATTAAAGGTCTCATGGTTTATTAAGAAAGCAGTGACTGAACCAGTGAGAGTAATTATCTTCTGAATCCAAGAAACAGAGAAATGACTATGGGCCTGAGGAGGGTGAATTGGGATCTGGGCCTCTAGGGAAGAGGGGGCCATGGTTCCCGTGAGCTGGCCCGGGGCTGCCACTGGGAGCCGGAGCCCTGGGCCTGGCAGCACGCTGGCATGCTCGGCCGTGACAACAGTCTGGGTTTGTGTTTTGCAGTTCGCTGGAGAATGGGAGACCACCCGATCCTGCAGACTGGGCTGTAATGGACGTCGTCAATTATTTCCGAACAGCGGGATTTGAGGAGCAAGCTAGTGCTTTTCAGGAACAGGTAAATGAGTCTAGAGAAACACATGATGAACTCAGTTACTTACCTTCCTTCCCATAGAGGCAAAAGGGAGAGCGGAGGAAGAGGGCCAGAGAGCAGCGAGGGATCATTGAGGCTCTCTGCATGCCCTGCATACCAAGCCTTAATCATATCAGGCCCTAAGATACCGACGAGCGTGGGGAAGGGAAGAAGAAAAGTTACAAGCTAATGATTTTTTCCTGCAAGAGAAAAACCCAAGCTCTGCGACAGTCACAGCTGCAGAGAAGAGGGCTAAAGCTTATTTACAGCTGCATATTCTGAAAGACAGAACAGTCCCACCTTCAACATAAACACGCTAGAAAGCAGAAAACAGAAAAGAATGAAAAAGGAGGGACTGATCTCACTTAGAGACAAGCAGCCCCATCTATTACTGGCCTTCTGCATCAGCTGCGCTTCATAGCCCCCTCCAATTTACTTTCCAAGCAAAGCAGAGTGGTAAGAGCAAAGGATTTAGTTAAATCCTCGTTCTTCCAACACCGCGTAACCCGAGCAAGTTACTAAATCTCTCTGAGTCTTGGTTTCACATCTATAACATGAAATTATCAATGCCTCACTTGATAGGGTGGTGGTGTAAGGATAATGTATGCACAGTGCCTAGGATAGATCCTGGCACGATGTTGATGCTCCCCAAATGTTGATTCCCTTCCCTTAGGTCCAAGGTTAGTATTAGAAAGAGGGAGGGAGAGGCAGGGGCTGTCTCCCAATTGCCTGGGTGATTCCTGGCCCTATTTTTCAGGCTGAGTCGGTCAGATCTTTAGGGATGGTGCTTGAGGTGCTTTGGCCATGAAGAAGCTAATTGGGGAAGAATGTTGTGGTCCACAGCAGACCAGCTCTGTAGGAAAACACAGAGTTCCTACCTCCCTATCAATAAAGGCTGCCATTTTCTTAGCATTAAATCTAATATTATAATTGAGGACGTTATGAACTGAAGAATATGCCTGGCTGCTTCTTCCATATCCTTTTAGCCCTTTCTTATTCTCTCCAGCTGGGTTTGGATAGTTGAACTTTTCTAATATCATATATGCCAACCTCTAGATTTCCTTCAGTGTTTCTTTCAAAGCTAATCCCTATATATTTTTTGTTAATTTGGAACATTTGCCAGAATAACAGCTTAAGTCACTTCACACTCACCAGAATAACTAAAATTAGAAATATTGATAAACCCAAATGTTGGTGAGGATATGGAGCAATCACACTCTGTTATGTTGTTGGTGGGAATGTAACATAAACATTGATACATCCACCCCTGTGATCCCACAATTTCATTCCAGAGTATTTGCCGAAGGGAAATGAAAACATATGCCCACAAAATATCTGTACAAAATTGTTCTTAGTAGCTTTATTCATAATAGTATAAAACTGGAAGCCTAAGTGTCCATTAAGAAGACAGTGAATATACAAACTGTGATATAGTCATACAGTAGAATACTACCCAATAATGAAAAGGAATGAACTGCTGATGAACATACAACCTGGGTGAGCCTCAAAACGTTATGCTGAGTAAAAGAAGCCTTACACAAAAGAGTTCACACTAATAGTTCCTGTCTCAGTCCTTTTGTGCTGCTATAACAAAAATACCATAAATGGGGTGGCTTATAAACAAATATTTCTCACATTTCTGGAGGCCAGGAAGTCCAAGATGAAGGTGGCTGCAGATTTCATGTCTGGTGAATGCTTGCTTCCTAGACAGCCATCGTTTGCTATGTTCTCAAATGGAGGAAGGGATGAGAGAGCTCTCTGGGGCCGCTTTTATAAGGACACGAATCCCACTCAGGGGGGCTCTGCTCTCATGACCTAATTTGCTATCTTGACCTAATTAGCTCTCTAAGCCCCCACCTATTCAGAGCATTACTAATACCCCTACTATGCCTTGGGGATTAAGTTTTAACATATGAACTTGGGGGGGACACAGGCATTCAGACCATAGCAGTTCCATCCAGATAAAGGTTGAGAACAGGAAAATGTGTCGGTGGTAGAAAAAAAGCAGAATAGCGGTTGCCTCTGGATAGGGGGGAGGGGAGAATGACTGGGACGGAGCATGAGGGGACTTTCTGGGTGATGATAGTGTTACGTATCTTGATAAGACGCTGGGTTATAAGTATATGCATTGGTCACTGCCTGTGCACAAGTGCATGCAAATGGCTCAGACTTGTGCATCACATAACCTATATATTTTACCTCAAAGGGAAAAGAATTATAAAAATAATTAAACAATTAATGACATACAAACTGAAGTATTTAGTTTACAGCTTATTGATGTATATAACTGAAATGCATCAAAATATGGGCTAACCATTGGATAGAGGGATGAGTAGATGGATAGATAGATGATAAAGTACTTAGAGAAAATGTTAATTACAGAATCTAAGTAGTGAGAATATGGGTGTTCATTATAAGATTCATGCAACTTTTCTTTATGTTTGAAAATTTTCATAATAGAATTGTGGGGAAAATAGATCAGGTTGGAAAGTGGAAGGCTGATCAACTGGAACATATTTCATTTTGGTTTGTAATGGTAGAAAGTTCATTTGTATTATTGCAGTTGAGTAACTTACCTCTAAATTTAAACAATATTGTGAAAGGTTAACCAAAAAAAAAAAAAAAAAAAAAAAAAAAGGCCTTAGCTAAAAGGCCTCTTGGCCGGATTCCTAGCTGCCCAAGCATTTTTCAGAGTGAGCTTCTGCTCAGACTCCTGAGGCATACGTCCCCAGTTGGGGTCAGGGGTGTGCATTGGGATTTCCAGATTCTGTGCAGGACCTCAGAAATGGAACTGGCCAGTTCTGAGCTTGGCCCAGGGGTAGGCCCTTTCTCCCATGGATGACATCACTCTGGCACTAGAGGCAAAGGGGAACAAACTCTCCCAAAGTATTTCATTCAGAAGTCCTTCAAGGGGTTGGGGGAAGGAACATCACCTTGCTGCTGTGCTGAACCCGTCAACTCAGGAGCCTGGAAAAATATTAAACAAGCATAATATTACTCAAGCTCTTGCTCTAATAGTCAAGTGTTATTTTAGAACTTGCCCTCATGAAGTGTGCTTTCAATGCACAGCATAGGGGCTGGAGTTTCGGAAGCATGGTCCCGAAGCTGGAGTTCCTTTGTTCTCATGGACAGGTGGTTGGGCACGGCAAATAGTCTGCCTTGAATTATTCTCTAGAAGTGATCCAAATCTTCCTCCTCCTGTGAAATCATCATTGTGTTTCCTCTGCTCCTTGAAAGAGGATGAGAAGGGAGTTATTGGACAGGCTCCAGCTGATAAGACAAGTAGCTGCTGTGATTGTCAGGAGGACTGAAGCTAAGGATCTCTACCATGTTAACCCCCTCTTCCACCATCATGATTCAGAGGACTTCAGTGTTTCACGTCCAAGGATCTACCTGGCAAGGAACCTCAAGCAGGCAGCAGTCACTCACCAAGTTCCTGCTAGATGGGAAAGCATCAGTTCATCCCCAGCCCAAACACATGACCTTTCCAGACATATCTTCTAGGTTACAGCAGGCACAGCCTTAAATCTCCTCAGGGAAAGCTTCATCCTGCTTTCAAATGTAAGCAGGCGGGGATGGAGAGCATCCCCTAAACCTCCTTAGAGAAGGGCAAGTCCAGAAAGGGTAGCATGGTTGCCAATGATGCGGGGAGCTCAGCCTCAGGCTCTCTCTTACGGACTGTTTGCGTCCTCCCCAAAAGGTATATGTTGAAACCCTGACTCCCAAGTTGATGGTATAAAGAAGTGGGGCTTTTGAGAGATTATTAGATTTAGGTGAGATCATGAGGGTGGAACCAGAGAGCTCTTTCTCTCTCTGCCATGTGAGGATACAGCAAGATGGCAGCTATCTGCAAGCCAGGAAGAGGGTCCTCACCAAGAAGCCAACCATGTTGCCACTGTGATCTTAAACTTCCAGCCTCCAGAACTGTGAGAAATGAATTTGTGCTGTGAAGTCATCCAATCTATGGTATCTTGTCATAGCAGCTTGAGCTGACTAGGACACCAACACTGATGCCAGACATGCCCCCCAACGTAGGGGCCGACTTTCAGGAGACTGTGGTCCCCCAGTACATAACTGGGTGTTACGTTGCTGTAGCAACCAGACTGGGATGTGGCTTTCTAGCAGCTTGCCCCCTTGTAGCTGTCAGGCCACTGAGCAATATTCATCCAAAGGATAGGAATGGTGTCCCCATGTTCCTGTTGTTCTGTGGTCTGAAGTGATACCTAGATTAAGCTGGTGATCTTTGTGTAGCCGCCTTTTCTCTGTGCAGGAGAACTGTCACATGACAATTACCTGCGTTAGATTTCCCTCTGGTACAGTTACCTGCATTAAGTTTTCTTCTGGCAAACCTCCTGAGCCTTCTGTGTGAGCCATAGCTACAGGCCAAAAGAACTGTCACAGGGAAGGCCCCTGTACAGCCCCCTGCCCACACCCACCGATGATTTAGTCTTAATAGAGTGTGTGTGTCTTGGGTTGTATCACCGTTCTGGTCAGTCTCCTTTTTTGATGAGTGATGTCACTCTCCCTCAGGTTGGCCTGTGGTTTGTGTCATCAAGGGAGTCAGGCCCCCTGGCTGTATTCACACTGTGCTCCAGAGAGTTCGCTGGCCCACGGAGCAGGAGGCAGCGGGAGCCCTTCCTAAAGAAGGCAGTGTTTCCAGCACTGTTGGTGCTCTTTCTCTTTCCCACAGACATCATTGTGCACTGGCGATTTCCCCAAGTGTTTTCTAGCAGACAGACTTCTTAGGCTGTGGCGAAGGGTATGAGTGAGAGTCAGGACTCTGGTTTCTTTTCTCCTTATTGATGCATAGTCACTGGATGGTCCTGGGGAGTTTGCCTTTCTAGGACTCAGATTTCTATAGTGAATGTGGACTTTAACAAGCATAATATTACTCAGTCTCCTGCTCTAGTAGTCAAGTGTCATTTTAGAACTTGCCCTCATGAAGTGTGCTTTCAGTGCACAGCATAGGGCACAAAACCACTTCA